TTTCATATATAAGTGGGGATTCAAGGAAATAAATGCATTATCAAATACGAGAATTTAGGTAACAGTGTATGGAAGACAATGTCACCTAGCTAACATTACTGTTACTTGTGTCACATTGCTAGGTACTGCTGTCCCAGGTTACCTGTCACAAAACCCAGGATTAGAGAGGTTAATGTTATAAATAAAATTTCGGTGCCACAAAAGAAATAGCACTGAATATAAAATTTTCTTTTTAATTCTCAGCAAGGCAAGGTACTTTTATAGAAGGGTGTGCCCTAACAGATGGAGCAATGTTGAGCACACACTTGGACAAGGGAGGGGAAGGGGTTCTTATCCCTGAGGCACGTGGCCCCTGCTGCTGTGTCGTTCCCCTATTGGCTAGGGTTAGACCCCACAGGTTAAACTAATTCCGATTGGCTAATTTAAAGAGAGTGATGGAGTGAGTGGTTTGGCAGGAAAAATGGTTATGACAGAGCAGGTAATCAGAAGGAGTCAGGGTGGAGCAGGTAATGAAAAAAGCTTGTGGCTGGGCGTGGTGGCTCATGCCCCTAATCCCAGCACTTTGGGAGGTAGAGGCGGGCGGATCACGAGGTCAGGAGATCAAGACCATCCAGGCTAACACGGTGAAACGCTGTCTCTACTAAAAATACAAAAAACTAGCCGGGCGAGGTGGCAGCGCCTGTAGTCCCAGCTACTCGGGAGGTTGAGGCAGGAGAATGGCGTGAACCCGGGAGGCGGAGCTTGCAGTGAGCCGAGATCGCGCCACCGCACTCCAGCCTGGGCGACAGAGCGAGACTCCGTCTCAAAAAAGAAAAAAAAAAAAAGATTGCTTTACGAGAAAGTTAAGTTTAAAAGTAGAAAGAAAATAATTGAACATACTGACATATTGATTCTTTGAAAAGAAATTTAGAACTCATCTCTAACATTAAGTAACTCCCTCAAGGCTCTGAAGGCTATTAAAGAGAAATTACTCGTCTGACGCTTGTGAAAAACGGCAAGACTTTACTCAAGACTGCTGCAATAGGTGAGAGAGACTGAATTCGACTCTAGAATACAACGGGGACCAGTGGAGATTTATAGCCGGGGGCGGGATGGAAGGGATGAAGGAGAAGATGAGAAATTACCAGAACGTGGTAAGCTATTGAGGGGGAGAGGGAGGAGGAACTTGATTAGAGTTCCTTAGAAGGGTCTTAGGAGAGAGTATCAAAAGTGAGGAGGCTCTTGATAAACAGGCTTAGCAGGATTCTTTGGTAAAACCGGGCTCAGCTGGTTTTACTGGTTTTATACTAGAGGATGCCCGTCTAGTATAGAAAAGGCCTCAAAGGAGCCCGATTAAAGTTTGGTCAAGGAGGGCGTCTGTGCCGGCGGAGTCGGGGTCGGTGGGTCTCAGTCTACAGACCTTGCTGACGCTAAGTCCCTAAGGTTAGGGACTAACAGAGCTCATAGAACACAGTCTGTGGGTCGCTGTACACCGTGAGGCATTCATCACAGTGGCCAGCTATAAGACTAACGGTTGCGTTCCAGCCTCAATCGGATCAACCACAAATCGGTGCGCCGGGTTCCTTATCTGCCCGAACGCAGGCAGCCGGCTAGCCGGGGAAGGAATCCTACCGCGGACTCCGCGGGCTGGGCCCCACGCACCTGCCGCGCGCCAATCACAGGCCGGCGCGCAGGGGCGCACGCGCCGCAGCCCTGGGCGGGGCCTCCGAGGCTCCCGCATCCCCCCCGCCCCGTCGGCGTCGCCCGGCCCTGAGTGGCCTGCGGGGATGACGTGCGAGGCCGCCTGGGCCTATGGCGGCGGAGCCGGCCGGCTGCTTGGCGGAAGTGGTGTGGGGGAGGCGGTCCGCAGTGCAGGGGCGGCGCGGAGCGGCGCGGGGCTGCTGACGGGTCGCGGCTCCGGGAACATGGCTCGCTTCGCTCTGACTGTTGTCCGGCAGTGAGTATGGCTGTGGCAGGGGGCCTTTCTCTCTTCCTTGAGTGTATTGGAGCGGGCGAAGGGAACACGGGTCTGCCCCCCTCTCCCCTCCCTGCTCGCTCCGCCCGGGGAGGGCTGGCTTGGAAGCGCTTTTCCCGGGGCGCTTGCCCTGGGGCCGTCTCGTGTCGCCCCTCGTCTCACCCCAGCAGCCCCGAGGGAGGACGGCAGGTCTTAGATAGCTGCGTCCCGTGTTTCAGATAAAGCGAGACCCGGAGGAGCAAGGGATCGGGGTTCGTAGGCACTTGGTGGCTGCACCCAAAACGGTGCCAGACATGTCCACAGACTTGTCTGGGCACCGTTTTTGCTCCCCGGCAGGTTGCAAAGAGTTTGCAGAATTGCTCGTCCGTGGCTGATGTTTGTGATGCCGGCTGCCTTCTGCTATCCTCTCTGTTTCTGAGGTTCCTCCTCGTTTCCCCAGACAGTCAGCCCCCCTGGCACATATATGAGACTTCTTTCCTTTCCCCAGAGGTTACAGTTCTGGGAGAGAAAAGAGGGTCACAACTCTGATCTCAGCAGACCGTATCATCCTAAACAAATGTTTTTTATTATCATAACATTACACGGAGCTGAATGCTGATAGGTCTTCATGTTTCTTATCTTTTCTTATCAACATGTATTTGCCAAGTGTTAACGGGAGATGAGATGAAAATCAGGGTAGTTAAGAGCATAGATTTTTCTTCTTTTTTTTTTTTTTTTTTGCGAGATGGAGCTCGCTCTGTCTGTCACCCAGGCTGGAGTGCAGTGGCCCTATCTCTGTTCACTGCAACCTCCCGCCTCCCGGGTTCAAGCGATTCTCCTGCCTCAGCCTCCCGAGTAGCTGGGATTACAGGCATGCGCCACCATGCCCGACGGATTTTTGTATTTTTAGTAGAGGCGGGGTTTCACCATGTTGGCCAGGCAGGTCTTGAAATCCTGACCTTAAGTGATCCGCCCATCTCGGCCTCGCAAAGTGTTGGGATTACAGGCGTGAGCCACCGCGCCCTGCTAAGAGCACAGATTTTTCAGGCAAGGTAGACCTCGGTTGGAATCTGTTCTCTAGCTAAGAGCCAGGTAGCCTGGACTTAAGTTTCCTGATATGCAAATGATAGTGCCTATCTAACTATTTTAATGTGAGAATTAAATGGGGGACAGGTAAAGTGTATGATGCAACAGGGGAAGAAATATATCTGAGAAATAACTTCTATAAAGACAGCTCCAATAAAAGTGCAGTTTATTCCCAAATACGAACGTATAGTTTAGCACAGCAGCATTTTGTGTGGGTACTATGTGCCAGTAGACTGGATCATACAGATAAATAACATACCATTTCTGCATTCAAGCTCACAAGGGACATTAATATGATTTAACTTTGTCAGTTGACTTGAACTGCTATCTTTTCTGGCCTGTCCTTCTTTATAAGAAAGATAATCTTAAGAATCCTCTAAAATTGTCCGTTTGGGATTAGCAGGGTTTTAATGGCTACCTTAGAAATCTAGTTCCTCCTTATCTCTTCTCCCACCCCTTTCGGTTATATAGAATGCCTTGGGAGAATTCTTAACTTACTAAAGGTCATACAGCTAACTGGTAGCAGAACAGGAACTAGAGGCCTGATCACCCTTTCTTCCAATGTTAGAGCACTTTCTAGATGCCTGACCCAGCCAGCCCAGTGTCATATTTATAATTGAAACTCAGACCATCAAGGTGGTTCACCCCTGTAATCCTAGCAAGTTGGGAGGCGGAAGTGGGTGGATCCCTTGAGCACAGGAGTTCAAGACCAGCCTGGGCAACATGGTGAAACCTCCTCTCTACCAAAAAAAAGCTGAGTGTAGTGGTGTATGCCTGTGAACCCAGCTAATAGGGAGGCTGAGGCAGGAAGATCACTTGGATCACGTGAGCCTGGGAAGTCAGGGCTATAGTGAGCTGTGATTGGGCCACTGCACCCCAGCCTAGGTGACACAGTGAGACCCTGTCTCAAAAAGAAAAAAAAAAAAAGAAAACTCAGAAGTTGTAGAATATTTGGGTTAAGGCAACCCCTAAAAAGATGATTCCTATTTAGATTCTTAATAGACAACAGTCATACAAATGTGGATTTTATTCCCTTCCTGCTGCTTAAAAAGGGTTTGATTCCGGAGGCGCTCATAGGAATCATTTAAAAAATAAGTCTTAATACACTGTTGTAATTAAAACCTGACAGTTTAGTGAGTTAAGGACTGATATCCTCGTTTTTCACATGAGGCAGCTGAGACAGAGATGCCTTGTAACTTGCTTAAAGTCATATGGCAAGTTGAGGAAGTAGGAGTTTAACCAAAGCAACTTTACCACTCACCGTCTTTTGTTTCCTACTTAATGTGTTACAACCTGGTATTTGTAGATTACTTGAACATCACCAGCCGTTTTTGAGGCTACTTTTTATTCTCTTAATATAATTGTGTGGAGTTATGACAATAGTTTATTTTGTTCTGTTTTATGTGTAGGAAGATGGAGTGAGAGTGTTGAAATAATTGATAGGGCTGGTCCAATGCTTTCCTGTCTGGACCATCCCTCTTCTTGTCTTCAGAGTTCTCAAAACCAAAACCTGGTGATTCTTTCAGGAAAAGAAGTGATTTTAAATTTGACTCATTATCACCATAGTTAAATGTAATGACTTTTTGAAGAGTTAGAGAATTTTATTGGACTTACCTCTTCAGATAATGCAAAAAAATCTTTAAAGCAATTTAAGTTCAACAGAACCCATTAGGAATCTCGTGCTGTTCCTGTATGTGGTTTTCTTTCTTCATACTTTGACATGGAAGTACCAGTGTCATTTCTGGAATAGACTGCCCAAGGTTCCAGAATTTAAGTCTATCATCGTCAGACTATAACTTCTCATGATCTTATGGCACAGCATTGTTGAAAACTCCAACACGTGTAGTTGGCATTACCATCACCTATCCAGCACTATTGAAGGGTCTGGTTCCTTGAAATGTTATTGGTAGGTGTTTGCAGTTAGTCTCAGGCAAAACCATCCATTTCACTTCCTTTTTTTTTTTTTTCTGGCGGGTAGTGGGGAGATATGTGTGCCTTTATTAGCTGAGCCTCTACTTGAGGGGGATGAAGCGGGAGGAGTGGGTGGCCCTGAGGCCGGGCCGGCAGTGCCTCACCGGCTCGTAGGTGATGGAGAACTCGCCCAGGTAGTGGCCGATCATCTCTGGCTTGATCTCCACCTGGTTGAAGGTCTTGCCGTTGTAGACGCCCACCATGCTGCCCACCATCTCGGGCAGGATGATCATGTCCCCCAGGTGCGTCTTCACTACTTCCGGCTTCTCCACTTCCGGCTTCGTGGCCTTGCGCAGGCACTTGGGCAGCAAGTGCTGTTTCCGCCACAGGCCCGGGTTCAGCTTCTGCCGCTGGCACGCACTGTACGGTTGCATCAGCTGCTGGTGAGTCATGTACAGCTGCTGGTCCGAGTCCACGCCCCGGTAGGTGAATTTGCGGAACGTCAGCTTCTGCTCTACCTCTGCCATCTTGCCGGATCCTCAGAAAAGTTCATTTCCATTTTTAGGCAGCTCTTAAAACTTTAATATTTTTTGGCAAACTAAATTTAATTTACTTTTAATGATTTAAAAATGAATTAGTAAAGATTTTTTGTTTTTGCTTTTTTTTTTTTTTTTTTGATACGGAGTTTCACTCTTGTTACCCAGGCTGAAGTGCAGTGGCAAGATCTCGACTCGCCACAACCTCCGCCTCCTGGGTTCAAGCGATTCTCCTGCCCCAGCCTCCCAGTAGCTGGGATTACAGGCATGCGCCACCACGCCCGGCTGCTTTTTACTTTTAGTAGAGTTGGGGTTTCTCCATGTTGGTCAGGCTGGTCTCGAACTCCTGACCTCAGGTTATCCGCCCACCTCGGCCTCCCAGAGTGTTGGGATTACAGGCGTGAGCCACCGCACCTGGCCGAATTAGTAAAGTTATTGACAGCAAGACTCATTTGGTTTTCTTACTGTACCTCTGTTGGCAGTTACTTTTTGTGTAAGGCTAATACTCGTTCTGTATATTAATAAAGCAAGCAAATACTATTAGGTAATCTGTAATTTAGTACTTTTATAAAGCTAATACTGTTATAAAATTTTAATGCTTTATAAAAGTATAAAGGTACTTTGTACAGATACTTTATAAAGATCAAGGACAGCCAAAAGTCCTGTAATCCCAGCGCTTTGGGAGGCCGAGGCGGGTGGATCACCTGAGGCCAGGAGTTGAAGACCAGCCTGGCCCACGTGGTGAAACCTCGTCCGTACTAAAAGTACAAAAAATTAGCCGGGCGTGGTGGCGGGCGCCTGTAAATCCCAGCCCCTCCGAAGGCTGAGGCAGGAGAATCTCTTGAACCCGAGAGGCGGAGGTTGCAGTGAGCCCAGATTGCGCCATTGCACTCCAGCCAATGAGTGAAAACTCTGTCTCAAAAAAAAAAGGACAGCCAAAAGTCTTGTGTTACTAGCTCTTGAAATCTTCTGTATTTGCAAATGAATTTATTAGTGTAAAGGAATTAGGACTAAGCTGTATTCGTGATACCGGGTGAGGGTTTACATTTTCATTTACACTAAAAAACATCTGTTTTGAAAACTTGACCCAAATTTACACTGATTTCCCATGATTTGTCCCTCCTTTGTAGCAAACTGAGTATTGTGTGTTGAATTTGAATTCCTTAAAAGGAATTAAGGGAAATCGAGCTTTCTATATGATTTTTGAAGAAATGCTGCAGAGTATAAATCCAGACTAAGAAGATAAAATATCTTTTAAGTAAGAACTGGGAGATAACCTACAAAGTGAATGATGTATATTTGTAGGTCCTATAAATGGCTGATCCTAAGACTTAACATCTTGGCATAAGCCCTTGGATTCCTGCAGAGTCAGGTTTCTGTTTTGGAAATGGACCACACTGCAGATTTTGAAAATGAGTGGTGTTATTCCTGACTCCTTCAAAATATATCCCTCTGAGCTTTCAGCTTCGTTCACCTTCTCTGCTGCTATCGCAAGTCAGACTTGGTTAAGGGAAATAGATTAATAATAAAACTGTTTTAGCCATCAACTTTCCCTTTCCATTCCCCAAGCATACTAATTAAACAGTTACTTCAAGGATTTATATAAACCTCTCAATAAAGCTGATAAAAGCTGTAAAATTAAATATTTATGAAAGCTTTTGGAAAAAAATCTATTTTTGGATTCCTACTCTTTAATATTTATAAAGTGATTTGAACGCAGAAATGCCAAATAGAACTAAACCGAATGCTGTGAGTGTTAATACTGTTGAGTCTGCAGCAGCCTCTGTTGATATACGGCTAAACGAAGCCTTCATCATGTCGCAGTGGTTATGCTGCTTTCACTGAAAATCGTTAGATGGTGGGGCAGTACTTTTACAAAACTATCAAATTTCTGGGATTCTGGCCGGGCGTGGTGGCTCACGCCTGTAATCCCAGCACTTTGGGAGGCCGAGGTGGGCGGATCACAAGGTCAGGAGATCGAGACCATGGTGAAACCCCGTCTCTACTAAAAATAGAAAAAAATTAGCCGGGCGCAGGGGCGGGCGCCTGTAGTCCCAGCTACTCGGGAGGCTGAGGCAGGAGAATGGCGTGAACCCGGGAGGCGGAGCTTGCAGTGAGCTGAGATCGCGCCACTGCACTCCAGCCTGGGCGACAGAGCGAGACTCCGTCTCAAAAAAAAAAAAAAAAAAAATTTCTGGGATTCCATTTTTTAGAAAGTGACATTTTGACAATATAAACCTTTGTTTTAATTTGAATCTTTCATTATCTACTTTGATTACATAAAAATGCTGAGTTAATCTTTTGAGCGAGTATACAAAAGGTAATCATCTCTGCCAAATTTCTGTGATTTGTAAATACTGAGTTTTTTGGTGGCTCTCACATGATTTCTTGGTTGGTAGATTATTAAATTTCTTCTCACCCCTGATTTCAAAATGAGGGTGTGTCTGGCTTGGCTGGAAATTGTATTAGCTATGTTAAAAGAAAAACTTCACACAAATTAGACTTTGTTTATTTGAGCAAAGAAATGATTCATAGATCAGGCAGCACCTAAACAAGTAAAGCTTCAGAGTGCTCAACCCAGCGACATAGGCAGGCAGTATTTATAGACAGAGAAGGGAAGTGACATGGCCAGGTGTGGTGGCTCACACCTATAAACCCAGCACTTTGGGAGGCCAAGGCAGGAGGATCACCTTAGGTCTGGAGTTTGAGACCAGCCTGGCCAACATGGTGAAACCGTGTCTCTACTAAACATACAAAAATTAGCTGGACGTGGTGGCACTTGCCTGTAATCCCAGCTATTTGGGAGGCTGAGGCAGGAGAATCGCTTGAACCCTGGAGTTGGAGATTGCAGTGAGCCAAGATCACACCACTGCACTCCAGCCTGGGCTGCATAGTGAGACCCTATCAGGAAAAAAAAAAAGAAAGAAAGGATGTGTCATATAGAAGTAGCCTGATTGGTTACAGCTCCACTTTGCCTTATTGGGACATGTCTGAGCAATTTGCAGCCCATAATTGGCTGAAAGCTCAGCTGCCATGATTGGCTGAGACTTGGTTCTTATTACAGGAATATACTCTCAAATTATGTTGTAGTTTGTTTACATATTAAGTTAGGTGACAGCTCCCTAGGCATGGAGGCAGTTTTAGGCCAGGTTTAATTTAAGGGCTACAAGCCACTGTCTAATGAGGATGTTATTTGTATTAAAATAACAGATATTTTGTTCTTGGTCTCAGCAAGATTTTGAGGCTGAGACAGGAAGTGAATCCAATACATGGTAACTATTTTCTAGATTAAAAATGACAGGTTCCCCATGTTTGCGCTGAATGCTTCTGCTTTATCCATCTGAATGGTAGAGGTTAATATCCTCTTTCATGCCCATTTTTTAAGATTCTGAATGACTTTTGGAGTGTAGGAAATCGTTTTTGTTGTTGTTGTTGTTGTTGTTGTTTTGAGTTGAAGTCTCGCTTTTGTCTCCCAGGCTGGAGTGCAATGGCACGATCTGGCTCACCGCAACCTCCGCCTCCCGGGTTCAAGTAATTCTTCTGCCTCAGCCTCCCGAGTATCTGGGATTACAGGTGCCTGCCACCATGCCTGGCTAATTTTTGTATTTTTAGTAGACACGGGGTTCCATCATGTTGGCTAGGATGGTCTTGAACTCCTGACCTCAGGCGATCCACCCTCCTCAGCCTCCCAAAGTGCTGGGTTTATAGGCGTGAGCCACTGCACCTGGCCTAGGAAATCTTTTATTAATTTTAACAACAATGATAATGGCAAATCAGTGCAGTTGGTTTTTACCAGGGTATAAATAGTTCTATGTAACTTTTTTTTTTTTTTGGAGACAGAGTCTTGCTCTGTCGCCTAGGCTGGAGTGCAGTGGCATGATCTTGGCTCACTGCAACCTCCGCCTCCTGGATTCAAGCGAGTCTTCTGCCTCAGCCTCCTGAGTAGCTGGGACTACAGGCGCGCACCACCATGCCCGGCTAATTTTTGTACTTTTAGTAGAGACGGAGTTTCACCATATTGGCCAGGCAGGTCTTGAACTCTTCACCTCATGATCTGCCCACCTCGGCCTCCCAAAGTGCTGGGATTACAGGCATGAGCCACCACGCCTGGCCAGTTCTGTGTAATTGTATTTCTTTATCATACATTTATTTTTTAAGCTAATACATCTGCATATTTAGAAACCAAAACAATTCTCCCTAGTCTTCCTCTTCTCCCCCCAACCAGTAGGTGACCACGTTTATTAGTTTCATGTTTATCCTTTCATTGTTTCTTTGTGCATATCCATATGTTTATTTCCCTCCTTTCTAAAAAGGTAGCTTTCTTTTTATATTATTCTATACCTTGCTTTTTCTCCTTAATCATATATCTTGGTGAGCATTCCGTATCTACATATAATCTCTCTCTTTAAAGGACACATTTGCGTAGGATTCTATTAGGTAGATATGTCACTGTTTATTTGTTAATATAAGTAATGGTTATTTTGGCCACCGTTAAGGAAACTAATTTCCTTGTTAACGGACATTTGGGTTGTTTATAATCTGTTGCTACTAGAAATAATACTGTAGCTAATGAACTTTTTTTTTTTTTTTTGGTGAGATAGGGTCTCGCTCTGTCACCCATACTGGAGTGCAGTGGTATGATCGCAGCTCACTGCAACCTCTGCCTCCCGAGCTTAAGCAATTCTCATGCCTCAGTCTCCCAAGTAGCTGGGATTACAGGCGCCCGCCACCACACCTGGCTAATATTTGTGTTTTTGGTGGAGACGGGGTTTTACCATGTTGGCCAGGCTGGTCTTGAACTCCTGACCTCAAGTGATCCATACTCACCTCAGCCTCCCAAAGTACTGGAATTACAGGCGTGAGCCACCACACCTGGCCACAAATGATAATGATCTTTTAAATATGAGTGAATTCAGTTATTCCCAGTAATTGGGTTATTGGATAAAAGGGTAAACAGATTTGTCATTTTGATAGATATTTTCAGATGACCC